CAGAGTAAGATAATATCAAATGTATCATAGAACTAATCAAACTTCTTAAGAAGTATCTTCAAAAGAAAATATTGAGGAACAATTTTATGGCTTCTGATATTGTTTCCAATAATGTCGAAACAATGAAAAACAGTCATACTTCATGTTCTCTTTTTGGAAAAGTCCCATTTGATCAACAGGGTGGCTCTGGTGTAAGAATGCCCAGAAAGTTTAGACAGCTCCTGCGGTCTGCCAGATAATAGAATATGAGCTGAAAGGAGCTTAGAGGTCTTCTAGCACATCTTCTTTAGGGAATTACTAGACCCGAATTATCCTAGAAATGAGGGATTTATCTCATTTTAAGGACTGACAGAGAAGGAAATTCCATTCCTTTCTCAGTAATCCATTTCAGTGCATAACAATCCTTACAATAAATTTATGGACTATGCTTTATCCAAATCCTTTGAACTGAAATTTTTCTGTTCTCCATGGAATAGAAAGCTGCTAATGACTGTCATCAGTGTAAGCCCTTCATATATTTGGACTCTGTAATGAAAAGTTCTTTATGATGATTATCATTAGTGCAGTGGTTATCAAGGGACATGTGCCAATTTCTGTAGACTTTGTAGATGCCACAATTGGAGGGAGAATGCTACTGGCATCTAATAAGTAGTGGCCAAACATGTTGCTAAACACCCTACAATGCACAAGACAGTTCTGAGCACATGCATATGCATGTGTGCACACACACATCCCCCCCAAAGAATTATCCCAAAATGTTAAAAGTGTCAAGGTTGATAAACTCTGTTGCCTTTCCTCATATAGTTTTATTTTCCAGACCTTCAGTAATAATTTGAATGTTCTTTGACTCTCCTCTCCAACTTAAATTATTCCACTTAAATTTGAAGCAGTGAATTTCCCATGGGTCTAACCGTTACTGAACACTAAGGACAGATTACTTTGTAATTCCTTCAGTCTGTGATACTTGTTAAGGACTAATCAATGGTGACTATGTCTTGTGTGAAGGTAACAGACACAGAACTCTCTGGGGACATAGCTGACCCACATCAAATGTCGGTAGGCATTTGGATGAACTACTATGGCACACCAAAGTTCTGCCTCAATAAGATTACCAGAATAGCTGAGACTGATAGAAAAGCAGACGGGTTGAGGGTGGTGGGAGGGGAAAGGGAGCTTGAGCTAGAGCCAGAAATCAAAGAGTGACAGAAAAGGAGAGAGGGTGCTGGGCATGGTGGCTCATGCCTGTAATCCCAGTGACTCAAGAGACTGAGGCAGGAGAATTGCTTAAGGCGAGGAGTTCAAGACCAGCCTGGGCAATATCACGAGACCCTTGTCTCCAAGAAAATAAAACAAATCATCCTGATGTGGTGTGGTTGTGTACACCTGTAGTCCACCTTCCTGGGAGGCTAAGGAGGGAAAATTGGTTGAGCTTGGGAGTTTGAGCTTAGAGTGAGCCATGATCATATCACTGTACTGCAGCCTGGGTGGCAGAGCAAGAACTCCATTTAAAAAAAATGAAATAGGCCAAGCTCGGTGGCTCAAGCCTGTAATCCTAGCACTTTGGGAGGCCAAGTTGAGGGGAGTGCCTAGACCACAAGTTCAAGAACAGCCTGGGCAACTTGGCGAGACCCCATCTCTACAGTAAATCTAAATCAAAAAATTAGCTGGGTGTGGTAGCACATGCCTGTATTTCCAGCTACTTGGAAGGCTGAGGTGGAAGGATTGCCTGAGCCCAGCAGGGCGAGGCTGTGGTACCCATGAGTGTGCCACGGCACTCCAGCCTGGGCGACAGAGTGAGATTCCAACACATAAATAAATACATATACATATACATATACATATATATATATATATATATATATATATATATATACACACACACACACACACACACATACATATATATATATATAAATAAGTAAAACAGAAAGGGAAATTTCCCGAGACTTCCTCTTACAACTCTCAGGAAAGGCAACCAAAGAAAGCAGCTCAGGTATGTTTCACTGTGGCCTAAGGACACATATTTGAGACAACTTTTGGTGATTTTATAAACATCTGTAACTTTTCTAATTGTGTTTATTTTTGATCCTGTTTTCGCAATAATATAGACCAATGAAAACCATTTACACACAAAGGCTTGTAAGCCTGCTTCAAAGAGAGCGGAAGCAGGACAGGCACAATAGCTCATACCTGTAATTCTAGCACTTTTGGAGACCAAGGTGGGAGGATGGCTTGAGCCCAGTAGTTCAAAACCAGTCTGGGCAACATAGCAAACCCTTGTCTCTACAAAAAATACAAAAATTCGCTGGGCATTGTGGTGTGCGCCAGCTACTCCAGAGGCTGATGCTGTAGGAGAGGCTAAGCCCAGGAGGTTGAAGCTGCAGTGAGCTGGGATTGTGCCACTGCATTCCAGCCTGGGCCACAGAGTGAGACCCTGTCTCAAAAAAACAAAAACAAAAACGCAGTCCCCTTTGAGGTAAACCTTAAAAAAAAAAATTGGGGGAAGCACAATAGAACTGGTCATAGTTAGGAAGAAAAGCAATTTGGGAAAGTCCCTGAGATCTGCAAGATAAAATTTGAGAACCATGAAGAGCTAATGCTGGGGTTGGAAAAAGTGCTTCAAGTCTTCAAAGATGGATGCTAAGTTCTGCTCTATGTAGCGCCTCACTCATGAGAGGATTTAATACATGGTTTTCTGATTTTGATTAGCATTTTGCTTCTAACTACTGCTCTTAAATTCAAATTATAGCTTTCTAGAGGATAAAAAAAAGATGAAGAAATGTGCTGAGGTTTGCAAAGAGATCAAATAACCATTTCATTCTAAAACCATAGATTCTACCATTTGTTGGGGTTTCATGCCAGGTTTGACATCATTTCTCATGCTTGATGTCTACAGACAAATATTCACATTGGAAAGATTGAATCAAAATCATTTGGTTGGTTTGAGCTTTGCAAGGAATATATAACATGTTCCTTGAAATTACAGTTCCAAGTTTGCTTTTATATTTACATGACTCATAAAGACTGTATTTGCACACTATCCACTTAGCATGAAAGATGATCTGGATGCATATAAAAATAATTAATTTCAAATGTATGTAAGGAGAAGATGGCAGCTTAATGTCTCACATTTTCTCTACTTTCAACCCCATCCTAACTTCATCTGCTGGAGTCAGTCAGTTGGCAGGGGGCAACTGGAAGGTGAGAATCATAGACCTGGTGTCATAGCTTCTTCACGATGGGCAGGACAGGAACTGGGCATCAGGATGGGAAAATCTTGACAAGAAGCCTTAAAAATGTTGGTTTCTGGCAGTTGGACACTCTGATGCTGCCATAATAGTTGGCCTACCAGAAAGATGATTTCTGCCCTGTTTAAGTGTACCTATTTTTCCTGACTGCAGCATCTGGGGAAGGCCAGGAGAACTTGAGGAGATCAGAAAGCAGAGGGGCTCCCCTCCTTCCCTTCTGAGAACCTGTCTGCTACTATACATGAGACAATCAGAGACAACTGTCTTTCTACCCTCTTAGGACATTTAAGCTACTCTCGAGGTACCCAAAATCAGAAAGAGAAAGAGCAAACTGAACCATCAGAGTAAGTCTCTTATGAAACAGAGTTGCTGGAACTCTGCTAGAAGCAACTCTTATGAAACAGAGTTGCCGGAAGAGGCAGATGACAACATGTATAGCAAGAAAAAAAATTAATAAGAACATTAAGGAGATCTAAATGAGGCACAGAAGAGATTCCCTGGAGATAAATAGAACCATGATTTTCAAACTAAAAATTAATAATAAAACAAAGGCCATTGTTGATACTCAAATTAGAAGCCTAGAAAATCCAATGAAATAAATATCTCAACTAACAGAACAAAAATATAGGGAGATAGAAATTATAACCAAAAAAAGATAAGTTTGGAGACAATAGATTCTAGAAGGAGGAAAAAGAGCAGATAGAGGATAAATAATAATAGAAGAAAATGTGTTGAAGAGAGATCTTCAAAAGGCTAAGTTCAAGGCATAATTAACAAGAAGCATAACTAGGCACATGCTGGCAAAATTTTTAAACTTCAATATAAAGAGAAAATCTTACAAGTTTCTGGGGGGAAAATGAAAAAGCTACAAAGAAAAGAAATTAAACAGGCATTTGCTTTGTCTTCAAATTTGAAGGCTAGAAGAAAATGGAGCAAACTCTAAAAACTACTGACAGAAAAGGACTACAATCCACGAATTCTTTATCCAAGCAAGTTATTATTTACCTGTCAGTATGAATGAAAGATATTTATAAATATACAAGGATTCAGAGAATATATCACAGACATACCACCAGTTGATGAAAAACTTAAATAGCAAATTGATCTGAATATAACTTCTATATATACATGTGCTCTTTCTCTCTATATGCATATTTATATATAATAGATTATAAGTGTTCTCATCACAAAAAAATAAGTATGTGAGGTAATGCATATGTTAATTAGCTCAATTTATCCATTATACAATGTATAAATATTTCAGAACATCATGTTGTACATCAAAATGTATACAATTTTATTTATCAATTACAATCTTTAAAAAATTATGATATATGCACTCTATGGAATACCACTCAGCAATAAAAATGAACATATTATTGATAAATGCAACAACTTGGGTGAATCACCATGGAATTATGCTGAAGGAAAAAAGCCCCAAATCCAAAAGGTTACATACTATATAATTCCATTTATATGACATTTCTGAAGTGACAAACTTTTAGAAATGGAGAACAGTTTAGTGGTTGTCAAGGTTAAGGACAGGGATAGGGTGATGGGTATCATCATAAAGTACAAAATAAAAGAAGATTGTGGCAATGAAACTTTTCAGTATCTTGACTATGATGATGGATACATAACTTTACACACAGAATAATATTGTACAGAACTAAATACACACACACACACACACACACACACACACACACACACAAATTAATACAAGTCAGTAGGCCAGGTGTGGTGGCTCACGCCTGTAATCCCAGCACTTTGGGAGGCAGAGGCGAAAGGATTGCCTGAGCCCAGAAGTTCAAGAACAGCCTGGGCAAAATGAAGAGACCTCATCTCTACAATAAATCAAAAAATTAGCCAGGAGTGGTGGCATGTGCCTGTAGTTCCAGCTACTTGGAAAGCTGAGGTGGAAGGATCGCCTAAGCCCAGCAGGTCAAGACTGTGGTGGCTGTGAGTGTTCCACTGCACTTCAGCCTGGGCAACAGAATGAGACTCCTACTCAAAAAACCAAACAAATAAAAAACAAAAAACAAACTAAGTAAAACTGGGAAAATCTGAATAAAATTGGTGGATCGTACAATGTCGATACCCTGGTTTTGATATTGTATAGTTTTTCACAGTGTTACCACTACCAATTAACATTACTGCGTAAAAGGTACAATAAATTTATTTTTATTATTATTTATGACTACATTTAATCTATAATTGTCTCCATTAAAATTTCAAAAAAAAACTTCTGAATTTTTAAAATATTTCTAAGGGCACTAAAAATGAAAGAAATAGATACCATCTGTTATTAGAGATATATCACTAAATGTAGACTAATCATTATCTATCTGGGAAAAAATGCAATCAGACCCTATGCTATATCATGAAAATTATACTATATAAATAGTAGGGGAAAAGGAGATATTAGCTTTGTCTTATATATATATGTTTGTACCATGTTACTTTACTTGTTATTAGGAGCATGGGTTACTGCTGTAATGTTCAAAAAAATCAAATAAAAATTATTTTAAAAGTCAAGTCCAAATTTTTCCATATAATACCTCAGATCTTTACCACAATCTCCTTGGAGAGCACATATCAAAGAGGAATATGCTAAATTTTCATTTTGGAGACAATATACAGGCATTATTGGCTTAAAATGAATTTATTTTTAAAAATATAAGTTAGAGCTGGGCATGGTGGCTGTAATCCTAGCACTATGGGAGGTGGAGGCAAGAGGATTCCTCGAGCCCACGGGTTCAAGACCAGCTTGGGCAACATGGTAAGACCTCGTCTCTATAGTAAATTAAAAAAAATTAGCCGAGTGTGGTGGTGTGTGCCTATAGTTCCGGCCACTTGGAAGGCTGAGAATAAAGGATTGTCTGAGCCTAGCAACTTGAGGCTGTGGCGGCCATGAGCATGCACTCTAGCCTGGGCGACAGAGTGAGACTCCAACAACAACAATAACAACCATATATATATATATGTATGTATATGTATATGTGTGTGTGTATATATATGTATATACATAACTTAGAAATAAAATAATGCTCAAATTTAAGTGCAGAAGTATGTATGTAAACCCATTTCTAAAGAATATTAGGTCACAACTGATAGAAAACAAAGCAAAACAATGATCCCTGATGCAAAGCAAGAAAGAGATAAACTAGCCGGGCTCGGTGACTCAGCCTGTAATCCCACGCCTTTGGGAGGCTGAGGTGAGTGGATTGCCTGAGCCCGCGGGTTCGAGACCCGCCTGGGTAGCGAGACCTCATCTCTACAATAAATCAAAAAAAAATTAGCTGGGCGTGGTAGCACGCACCTGTAATTCCAGCTACTCGGAAGGCTGAGGCGGAAGGATCGCCGGAGCCCAGCAGGTCGAGGCTGTGGTGGCCAGGAGCAGCCACTGCACTCCAGTCTGGGTGACAGAGTGAGACTCCAACTCAAAAAAAAAAAAAAAAGAAAAGAAAGAGATAAACTGACTCAATGTGGCTGGAAATATGATGCTGTCCGTGACCCAGAACTGCAGCCATTCATACCTGTGAGCACTTCTTACAGTTGAGTTCAGGTAACCAAAACACAAAGTAACAAGCCAAAGTCATCATTTAAGATGGGTTTGCTGAGGCACATGGGAAGACCACCAGGGCCCTAGGCAAATCAAAAAACAGAAGAACTTAAGTTGTTCTCTTTCCTCATGTCTTCCCCTTCCTCAGACTCCCACTGCCCATGCCATTGGATATAGGAAGAGATCTTGTTGTTTTAAAATTTCAGCATTGCTGGGCTCAGTGGCTCATGTAACGCCAGTGCTATGAGAGGGCGAGGCAGGAGGATCAACTTGGCCAACATAGTGAGACTCTGTCTCTAAAACAAAAACAAAACCAAAAAACCCACAAACTTCTGGCATAAGCCTGGAAGCTGAGGATAACAGATGACAAATGCTTCTACATTCAAAAAACAGATGTAGACACATCCATGCAGGACTTACTAACAGGTGACCAAACTGATCTTCGGTAATCAATACCATTACCCATTCCAACTTTTGTAAGAAAAGAAATGTATTAATGAGATGCTTGGTGCTTCCTCTCCCACTACCAAGTCAAAAGAGGGAGTCCCCTTGGAAAGGGTTTAAATGACCCACTTTAGAGACTGGTGCTATCTACAGGAAGGGAGACAGGCATCTCATTTTCCACCTGGAAGCCAGATGTCTTGCTACCACAATGAAACATTAAGAACATCTCAGCAGGAAAAAGATTCTAGGCATTTGGGTCTTATGGAATGAAGGTAGAGACTAGTAACCTAATTCTCCCCGATAGAATGGGGAGCCTAGCTGGAGTTGCCCACGTTGTCAGCACAAGATTGTCTAACTAGCCATCCCAGATCTTAAGAATCCCTTCTTCCTCTGAGTTCCATATGGCTGACTGGCAATGAAATGAAATACTCTGACCCCATAAGTACCCTCAGATGATAAAACCCAATTTTCATTTGAAAAAAATACACCTGGTCTACTTTCATCATTTACTTTCATGTTTATGCCCTCCACTTCACTATAAGCTCCTTGAGGGCAAGGCTATTATTTGTCTTATTATATCCCCAGACTTAACATGTAGGATTCTAGGTAATGTTTATCGGTGGTGTTCATGCTGCAGATTATTCAATTCTTCCCTCTTTCTTTTCTGCAGTCCCTTCCCACTTCCCTCCTGGGATCTCTCCTGAATACTTATTGCCCTTAAGTTAACTTCTCATTGAACTGGGAATCAAACTCATGAACTCAGTGTTTTATTAATGATCTGTGGACCAGGTTTTTAAAAAGGCTTTGTGCCACTTTCTCTATTTTAAAAATGGGAACAGCAATATATTTACTTCTGCATAATCACTAAGCATATTAGCAGAATCAAATGAGATGATGTGAACTGTGTTGCTCTGTAAATCTGATTATGTATCATTAGCCCTTTGCAAGATCATTTCTGGAGAGACAGAAAAAGAACTTATCTAAAAGGATACTGGCCTTTCAAGGACTTTTATACTCCTGTCAACCCAGAAATCAAGATTTCTGTCCCCTAGGAATGAGATGAATGGACCATGAATCAAATATGATTCATTTCAATGTAAAGATGTAAATGTAAACAATGTAAAGAAAGCTTTAACCCAAAGGTTCCTCATTCTCTAAAGTTTAAAAATTATATCTTAATTTCCATTTCTAGACTTTTTCTATTAGTCACAAGGAGGAGTCTACTGTGCCTTATTTTAGCAGAAGGCAGAATAAGTACAAAATCGGCATTTGCTCTTAAAGAGCTGAGGTGAGTGGATTGCCTGAGCCCGCGGGTTTGAGACCCGCCTGGGCAGCAAGACCTCATCTCTACAATAAATCAAAAAATCAGCCGGGCATGGTAGCGCATGTCTGTAATTCTGGCTACTCAGAAGGCTGAGGCAGAAGGATCGCTGGAGCCCAGCAGGTCGAGGCTGCGGTGGCCAGAAGCGGCCACTGTACTCTAGTCTGGGCGACAGAGACTCCAACTCAAAAAAAAAGAAAGCAAACAGTCATATTTTATCTTGAGAAACTAACACTATATGGAGAAAAATTAAAGATAATGAGATGATCTGGTGAGTTTTAATTACTATGTTAATGCTCTAGATAATTCAGGAAAACAAGCCCAGAAACTGAATTGTCTAGATGATCTGTCATCATCTGAATCTAAATTTGCTTATTCCTCGGGAAAACCAGCCAACCCTTCATTTTCCCATTGGCTGTTTAAAACTAGGGCAGTGAATCTAACATCTGAGCTTCCTCCCTGCTAGTGGAGGAAGGCCCTGACCTCACCAAGGATCTTGGGGACACAAAGTCAGAACTGCCTGGGGTGCAAGTGAACAACATTGGGGGTTGGGGCGGGGGACCTGATGATGGAGTCTTGGAAAGCAAGGACAGAGATCAAAGTAAGATCAGAAGCCCAGACAAAAGACAATAACCACATTCCAAACAAAGGTTCTGCAATAGTGCATACAGGATGGAGTGACAGACTGATTACAGAGTGTGGAGGGGCACCTGAAACAGAGTCAGGCAGATGGACATCTTGCGCAGTCCTTGTCTCTGAGCATTATTAGCTGCAGCAAGTCAGACTGGGCACCCCAGGCTCAGAGCAGCAGCTGTCACTTCACATAACACATTCCCAAGCAGAACTGAGATTATCTAGTGAGTGCTGAAGTACCACAGAGAAGTAAACTAACAGAATTCTTGGTAACTTATCCACTCATTCATTCAACAAACATTAATTAAGTGCCTATTATGTGCCAGACTCTGTTTCATGCTGTTAGGATCAGAAGTGAGCAACACATGTGGAACTTAGATTTTAGTGAAGGAACACTCTAAACTATAAACAGTAAATAGGCAAACTATATAGTATTTATATTAAGTGGCTGGACGCGGTTGCTTATGCCCGATCCCAGCACTTTGGGAGACTGAGGCAGGAGAACTGCTTGAGCCCAGGAGTTAGAGATCAACTTGGGCAACATAATGAGAACGAATCTCTATTTTAAAAAATTTTTCAAAATTAGGCAGGTGGGGTGGTATGTGCCTGTAGTTCCTGTTACTTGGGAGGCTGAGTTGGAAGAATCACTTGAGCCTAAGAGGTAGAGGCTTGCAGTGAGCCATGATCGTGCTACTGTACTCTAGACTGGGTGACAGAGTGAGAGTGACACCGTTTCAGAAAAAAAAAAAAAAAAGTTGAGTGCCATGGGGAAAAAGTGACAGCAGGGTAGAAGGTATTGAGAGTGCCAAGAGTGGGAAGAATTTGCCATTTTAAGCAGAGTATTCACTGAGAAGGTGACATTTGTGCAAAGACTTGAGGGAGGT